TCGGAGTGGGTGAACTTCCCACAGGCCTGGTATGACCTTGGACGTGACCTCCCTAATTCATCTCCCACACCTGTCCCAGGAGGCCGGCCTTGCTCTTGTTTTGCAGATGAATGAAAGAGGTTCAAAGAGGTGCAATACATTGGGGGAGGCCTCAGAGCCCTGAAGAGGCAGAGGTCTGTGTCTCTCCAAATCTAGAGGTCTGCACATCTCTAAAACCCACCCTCTGCCGAGGACCAAAGGGAAGGGCCTCAATAAACGTGATGCTGTGCAGTCTTGTATGACTGACCAAACCAGCCAAGGAGAAGGGGAAAGAATGGGAGCACGGTGCCAGCAGACTGGGGGCCGTGTCCTTGTTTCCCCTCTGCTTGACGGCCCATGCCTCTGTGAAACTTGTCCCCGAAAGCTCGGAGTCCTGACACTGCTGATGCTAGGGTTTTGTCTTGCTTGAATCCGCCACCGATGCTCATGGAAGCAGCAGTCAAGAGATCAAATGACGCATTGCATTGGGCAACTCTGCTGCACAAGACCTCTTTTAAATGCTGAAAAGCAAAGGGGTTACTTTGCCAACTAAGGTGCATCCTGACCCAAGTCCTTGGATAGTCTCCTTACACTCACAGTCCCTGAAAGGACACTCTGGATCCTGAAATAGTCTCAAGAAGGGAGCATGGAAACGGTGTAGTTGCAAGTGCAACAGGATTAGAATTCTGACCTTTGCTGACCGAGTCTGTTTCCAGTGACCCAGGATAGAATCCCACGACTCCAATGACGAGGGCAACATATGTACTTGAGACAGTGGATGTATGGATGGTTAGAAGAGCTGTAAGAGTCCCAATAAAATGATTTATTAAAAAAAAAAAAAGAACCCCATGACTCCTTAGGGTTTCTGAGACTATAAATCTTTACGGAAACAGGTGGCCTCATTCTTCTTCTGTGGAGTGGCTGGTGGGTTTGAAACACTTGCCTGCAGAGGTTAGTAGCCTGACATCGAACTCACTGTGCCACTAAGGCTGCTTAGTGACTGTACATAGGATGGTGCAATGCCACTGCTACCTGGGGCTGCAGAAGGAGCATGCCACCTACGTGCTCGGTTGTCAACATGGAAGCTTTTAGCGTGCTTCCAAGCCACTGGGAAGGAATTTGAAACGAACAAACAGAATGACATGAGAATCATCTCATGGTATTGAGAGCTGACTTCTCAAGGTATTGAGAGCTGCTGAGATACCAGCCAGACACTGAGGCAGACGAGAGCCAACACCCGGAGAGAAACAGCCTCCTGTAGCCATGAAGCCCTACATGTGTGTGCACACACCCCTTTACATTCCTCTAGTGCTGGATGGGAGGAGCCCTGGTGGCATAGTGGTTATGTATCGGGCTGCTCACTTCAAAGTTAGGAGTTTGAAACTACTAGCCGGTCCGTGGGAGAAAGATGAGGCTCGATACTCCCGTGAAGACTTACAGTCTGGGAAACCCGCAGGGGCAGTTCCACCCTGTCCTATAGGGTTGCTCTACGTTGGGATTGACTCGATGGCAGTGAGTCTGGTGTTCTGGAGCGTGTGAGTGAGGGATGAGGTTCTGAGAAGCTGGCAGCGGCTGGATCACGGGGCCCCTGAATGTTTGCACTTGATCCTAAAGGCGCTCGGAGTCATGGACTGTGCTGAGCAGGAGGTGGGAGCGGGTGTCACCACAGGAGACTTGCATTTCACAAGTTTCAGATGAAGAGCCAGGAGCAGAATGGATGGAGGTGACTGGTAACCTGTTTAGGAGAAAGCAGCTCTGAGCTACCAACGCCACAAGTTATAGGACATGTTCAGACCTGGCAAATAGGTGGAGACCAGAGACCGGGTGGTGATTGTCAGGGGATGAGGAGCTTTGTGATGAGGACCCAAGGTGGGCAGTGTGAAGCCGGCCCCCAGCACAGAAGAACAGACTGGCCATGTGCTCCTGGGAACATAACAGCTACGCCAACCCTCTGGAGCAGCTCTGCTCGCCACAGGCATCACCACGAGGGGGAATCAGCTTGAGGACGCGAGACACCAGGGGGACCAGGGAGTTGAGATTTGGAGGTGGCTGGGTACAAGGTTTGGGGGATGGGAATGCTCTGAAATAATTGCTGGCGATAATGACCTAACATCGTGAGGACAGGAGTGGGTCAGGAATGCCCCCATTACAGGCTGGGATTCGGATGTGCGTGGACACCACACTAAAAGCTTAGGGGGGTTTACTCCCGCTCGCCATCTCTGCTGCTGCCGTTGGGGGGGACTGGTGGTGGCGGGGAGCCGAGAGTCCCCTCCCCCTCACACTGTTTTATCCACCTGAGCAGCAGAAGCAGCCTAGCCCCACTGCCCACACGGTCTCTGCCAGCCCGCTGGACCAAGTCCAAGAGTCCACACCCAGAGCCTGCCCTCTGCCTCTCCTGCTTGTGTCCCCCCAAGGTCCAGTGCTACAAGAGTCTGGGCCTGGTGAAACCCACTACAGGAAGATAAGATGAGTCAAGAAGCTACTTCCCCTTTCCCGACAACAACAACAATACATTCTATGGAATCACAAAGGTTCAAATAGACATCATTTAAGGGGACACACACCTGTATACTTAAAACCTCTGAATCCCGCCCTTGTGAAGAGCAAATATTGTGTTATGTTCATTCTGCCTCCAGAGGGGACGGGGTCCTGAACACCAGCAGGAGCAGCGGTCAGGGTAGAGAGGAATGCACAGAGACTAGAGAGGCCAGAGGTTCAGGAGCAAGGCACCTGCTGACCGGGTTTTGGACGGGGTAGAAAGGGAGAGAGGAGGAGGAGGAGGAGTGTGGGACCCATCCCGGGCTCTGGCTGGGTTGCACAGGCTTTTAGAGGCTGGGGGGATGATGGCTTCGGCTGGGAGGTTGGTGGGACTAATGCATTTGTTCATTCCTTCAATCAACCACTGCTTGTTGACGTCCCACCATGCTTCTGATAGAGAGCTTGATGTTGGGTGTGGAGTGGTGACTCAAATAGATGGGTGCTGCAGCCTCATGATGCTTATAGGCCACATCCAATGGCATACATCCACACCTCATGACAGGCTTCAGGTCGTGCTGGGCAGAGGGTATAAGGTACTGCGAGAAGACCAGCCTGCGAGAGTGAGGCTGGGCAGCGGAAACCAGGAAGCTGGGAGCCATGAGAAGATCCAAGAGCTCAGAGAAGGAGGGCCTGGTTGGGGATGCAGAGGGGGCTGATCTGCATAGAGATGGGAGTTGGGGACAAAGTGGAGGAAGATGAGTCAGACAGGTCTCACAACTGTCTTGGGTTGGATGAGCTAGAGACCCTTCAGCGCCACCTCAAGTTTTATCAGCAGGCCGAGGTTAGTGGGCACCATCCCCTCAACCCTTAGGGTTCACCCTCACAGAAAGCACATTTTTGGATTTGTGTTTTGCCCAGAGATCACGGGCCTTTTGCCACCCGCCCATTTGGGGTATGTAACAAATCCACTGACTTGGCTTGGGCCCCAGGAGGCCCGAGTCATCCCCAGATTGATCCTGTTCCAGACTGGATTGAAATATTGATGTCAAATTGAGATTCTAAAAGTCCACACACAACCCACCCACCAGCTCTCTGTCTAGCCCGCGCTCTTCCTCTGAGGGGAAGCCAGGAGACGTGGTTTTGCCTACCAGCCTGATGACCCCCCAAACCACTCTGGCACAAACAGAACATCCAATGAGCTTTTCAAGATGCCTCTGAACCAAGAAACAGAGAAAGGAGAGCTGTATCGAGCCCATATTGGGCGTTGTTTGGCTACGTGCGGAAAGCATATAGAACAGTAACAAAAGTGAGCATTTACTGAGCACTTACTATGTGCTAGGAACAAGGTGGCATACTGGTTGTGAGTTGGGATGCTTACCACAAGGTCGGCAGTTCAAGACCACCAGCCGCTCTGCCGGAGAAAGACGGGGCCCTCTACTCCCGTTAACAGTCTCGCAAACTTGCAGGGGCAGTTCTATCCTCTCCTAGGGGGTTGGTCGCTATGAGTCAGCATCAACTTGATGGTGGTGAGTTTGCTTGAGTTCGGTTTGCTATGTGCTGGGCACTGTTCGATGCATTTCAACTTCAAACAGGCCCATGAAAGGATTTGATGGGTGTCCCTCCTTTATGGATGATGAAATGGAGGTCCAGTTTGGTTTTCAACTCAGGCTGTTTTGATCCTTCTGGGAAAAGAACTGAACTGGACCATCCCTATCCAAATCCATTCCAAAGACTCTATCCCAGTCCCAAATGCATCTCTGGGCACAAGGTGCCTGAGTTAGTTAATTGTGCCAGCCTGGCCGATAATC